AAATACTTTTAAGTAAACTTTTTTTCTAGGTTATCAAGTATATATATTTAAAATTTTATATGAATTAAATAAATATTTATTGAATATAATCAAAAATAAAATATCTGCTTTTTTTGTTATGCACTATATCTGTAGATATTGATATAGATCTTAGAAATCTTTGTTATTATTGAAAGTTATAGTTTACTTTCTCTCTTTTTGCTCTTTAATTAATTCAGTCTCTTCTAACTCTATATTATTTAAGTAAAAATTCACTTATCAATTTGTCATATATATTTTTAGTATTCTCTCTGTAGATTAAAACTCCTGGAGATCACTATTTTATTTTTATTTATTATCTCTATGGAGAAAGATCTCTTCCATATCTTTTATTTTATTATACTTTTTATTATCCTTTTTATATTCCTTTCTAATACCCTTTCTTTTGTTATCTATAATTAATAAATATTTGAGTCTTGAGTTTTTATGACCAAATACCAGGAATTGTTTCGGAAATAGCTCGTCTGCAAGCTTTAAAAAGCGTAATACCACCAACATAATCTGAGTAGGTATATGATGGCAAAAATGAATTAACATTGTAATTGGTTTAATTTTGCATCATTATTTACTAATAGAAGAACGATCTGAAAAAGCAAAAAACATTAATGGTAGTAATACTCATCCAAAAGACAAAATTTAATCAATCTGAAAATAAAAATTCAATTACAATATAATATTCCAAATGTTAAGCAATAAATTATGAAAAACATTCCGAATATTAACCCAAAATTACACCATAAATTGTGAAAAAATTCCGAATATTAACCCGAAATTATTCCATAAATTGTGAAAAAATTCCGCAAATTAACCCCATAATTATTATGATATGGAACGTGGAAAAAATTCCGTATTTGCTACGGAATTAATACCGAGTCATTCCGTCACGTCAAATTCCGAAAATATTAAGTAAAAATTCCATAGTTTTTTTATAAGGTATCCATAATTCAACTTCATATTTATAAGTGACAGTAAAGAATAAGCTTGAAAATTTCTATAAAGAATATTAATGTCTTTATTACGGGCATGCTCAAATATCCGAATCCTGTGTCGGTATTAACCATTTAAAGATTCTTCATCCATTTCATAACGGTTCACAAAAAAGACTTTGTTTCATTCATATGGAAAATTAATATACTGTTCATTAAATAATAAAAAAAGAAATCTACGAGTTTATCTCAATAATAAATTATGCATATTGCAACTTATATTACATATACATGTATACCAATACACATGTACGTGGTCATGTAGTGTGTAAATTAATGTTATTGTAAATCTTATTATATGTATAATTATGGTTAATAGGCTTTTAATTCTTTTCTTTTACACTCAACTTATTCAAAAAATTTAGGACATTTTTTTACGTTTGGGATATCAAATTGTAGAAAGTTCGGAAATTGAAACCGAGGAAAACAATTTTACCAAATTAAATATGCCATCCGGTCATCCAGCTCGTGATATGCAAGATACTTTTTATCTTAATAATAATTTACTTTTACGTACTCATACTACGAATATACAAAGTCGGATAATAGCTGAATCTTTTTTAGAGAACTACATGATTCATAAAGTACTCTGTTTCGTGAAAAGTAGTTGAAATTCTTTGAAATCGACTTCTGTACTATCGGTAAAATGTTTATAAAAATTTATCATAGGAAATTCCGGATACATTAAATTTTGATTTAATACATGTATTGTAGTTTCCGGTAAATTATATGTATATGTGAAAAGTTCTTCAAATTGATCAGTATAACTTAAATCTGCATACGAAAATATAGAGTTTTCTTGAGCATTAATTGGCGTCATAGGTGGCTCTTGCAATAAATTTACTGCATTAAGTTCCGATGTATTGTCCAGGGATGGCTTTTTCTTTTTATTTATTTTTCGTTGCAATCGGAAGGCTTGACAATACGCCATTTCTTCTTCGAATTCTTAAAAGAAGGCACAATCGCATGCTTTTCGGTGTTTTCGCGGAGCTCTTCAGCAATTTTTTTATATTCTTGCTTAACCTGATCAGCAAGGACCTTCCAATTTTTCGATGCCTGTCGAGATATTTCGTTTGCGCTAAGACGAAATCCATGATATATTGAAATTACTTTAAATGCTTTTCGGTACAATATAAAACTATTTGGCGTCTTCTTTGAAGGGTTATTCAAATTGTTTTTTAACACGCTGACAAGATTTTCATCCAGTGGATATGGCACATCAATTTTATCAAGACCTATCGAATTGAAACTTTCGTTTCGAATATAATATGGCATGAAAGAGCTAAAATTTGTGTTTTGAACTTTAGGCATTTTATTTCTTAATGTTAATTAGCTTATGTTATCTTTCTTTTGAAAGTTGGTATGTTCTATGTAGCCATTTTATAGCATTTATTTATATGTTTTTAAGATTAATAAATTTAGACTATACATGTATTGTATTCGTCCTACTTTATTTCTATTTATTTTTATTTCCCTATTGAGTTTTCTTTTTTCATTCGAGAATAGATTTATGATTTTCGGGGGAAAATTTATTTAATATAATATTAAAATTACATTGTAAGTTTAAAATTTACTAGAATCAGACAAAAGGAACTCGAGATATCTGCCGTGTTTTAGTTCATTGACAAAACGATTCTTTGTTCATCGTTTAAAGTATGCAGTATACATGCATGTTATTGTCGGCGATATCAAACTTTATATTGAGATGATGCTATTGTGCTACGCCAAGAATACGCCACAGTTATTTCGATGACCTCATTTCTGTGCTTCTGTTCGTTATCATTATTTTTAAAATAAAAATAACTTTTTTAATTGTTGTTCTATTAGGAGGATAAATCTCTTTCTTTATATTCTTCAATTTTTCACTAAATATCTAAAAATAATAATTTATCCAATTTTAGAACACGATAAATTTTTATAATTTTAAATTTTATTGGATCGCTTTTCACGGGCAATCTTTATATACATTGTATTAATTAAAAATTAAATACATGTAATTCCCTAATTTTTGGTAAAATCTGTCAGCGACGATCCATCGCACAATTATGTGTAATGTAGCATGTTTTTTTAGCACTTTGTACATGTACATGAACAGTGGCCTATCAAAAGTCACCGGACATCATGTGATCCCCAGTCGTTTTGCAAATAACACTGTTTGTTTGAATTAG